ACCCGGGGTAAGCCGCTTTCCAAAAAGAAGTTTTATGTATTTATATTTTGTGTTTTGTTTGTTTATCAAAACGTTAGAAGAATGTTGGAAGAGAATAATGAAATTTTAAATAAGACAGATGGATATAATGAATATATATAATTTAAGGCAAAAGAAATATGATTGAATAGAAGGAAAGAGAGAAATAAAGAGAAGTTGGGAAAAGATAAGTTGAACAGATAAGATGAATATACATATTAAACTATGCTGGTATGTGATAATGTGATAATTTGGAATTATCCTGTCTTTAAATAAGATGTTTTATTTGTTTTTTTTTTAGAAAAGATGTCCTATGTTATTATATTCTACGTTTTGTTTGTTTGTGTATTGTTTTTTTAAAATTAATAAAATTTGTTTTTTTTTAAAAAAAACATGAACCTTTGTACTTTCTTTGCTAACAGTTCTCTAAATGCTAGGGTTGGTTTTCAATAACAACAAAAACACATAATGATACATATTTCATCCAATTTTTCTTTCAAAGATAGTATATAAGGTTCTTGATGCTCTACTACATTTTTAAAACAATACCATGAAATAAGCTAAATCAAAAGAGAGTGGCTAGAACAAGAACATGTGAACAACACTAACGACAGCACAACATTACACGGTCTAGCATTAGGTTACAAATTCAAATAATGCGCTTTCTGTTTCTCTCTTTCTTCCACATTCACTAAACTGAAAAATCAAAAAGCAGCTGAAGACAGTAGCAAACTATTTCCATATTCCCAAGAAAAAGGCATGGTTGCATCCATATAAACATCAAGAATTGAACCTGACTTGAAAACAACTTTAGTTTTTTATACACATGCAAGCCAATGAACTAATGGGAAACATATAATTATTTTCAAACTAACAAAGAAACATGACTGCTATCTTTTTCTCTGTCATTTATCAGAGTCAGCAGTGTCTCGTCTATAGCCTTTGAGATATATGGGAAAGATAGAAATTCATAGTAAAAAAAAACCTCACAGGAAATATAAACATCTGCATTGTTAGTTACATATGCTACTGAAAAGGAAATAAAATATATTGTTTAAGCAGTCTTCCTCATGAACTCTCTTCAGGTTGGTCAAACTGTTAGTCTATTATAGTGTTATATTAAGGTCAGCTGAGTTCATGAGTGACCCCCCCCCCCCAAAAAAAATTAAATAGCTCCAATCAACTCAGACTGACTACAAACAAAGGCATGACAAAATAGCAACAATGGGGTAATCAAATATCTGAAGAAGTACCAATTGCTTGCAAGCAAGAACTGATCACAAGTCACTTTCTTTAGTGCCATAACTTTGAATGGTCACTATTGAAAGTCAAGGACTATCTGTTGAAAGTCAAGGACTATCTATTCAGGTGAAACAAGAGCTCTGGATGATGTGAGAATGGTTCTCACTTTTATCATTTTTCAATGGCAATTAGCCAGTCATTAAGATTGCAGCTTAGATGTTGGGTAAGCAGTCAAGTTTCACAAATAAATGAGATGGATATTGTAAATTGCTTGGATTCAGCAAATAAACAAGTAAGAGTTAAAGCAAGACTGATAAAATGAATGAAGAGCTTCAACAGCCACCCTAGGCTCTGCTGCTAGAAATATACCAGAATGAGGTCTCTGACACTTGATGCATGCAATCTAAATGCGTTTGGATTTTGTTTTATTGTATAGTAGGTGTGAAAAAGATTGCCTAGGAGAATTAAAAATCTTATTTAACCATTTATTCCTCTGCTTTCCTTTGAATACCCAAATAAAAATTAGCACTGGGAATAGTGACAGAAGTGTGAAGTGTACTTGATAAAACATCCATTAAGGTAGTCACACTGCATGGTGTTTCTTGGCACCAGTGACCAGTCCAGAGGTGGTATTCAGCAGGTTCTGACCAGTTCTGGAGAACTGGTAGCGGAAATTTTGAGTAATTCAGAAAACCGGCAAATACCACCTCTGACTAGAGATTTTACAGTATCCTTCCTCTGCCATGTCCACCAAGCCACGCCCGCAGAACTGGTAGTAAAAAAAATTGAATCCCACTACTGGACCAGTCCCAACCTTATCCGAATCCAAGGGACTTCACCTTGGAACAATAAATATATCAGCAATATGTAGCCACTTTCAAGACAAGGCAAAAAAAAAAAAAGCTTCATTTATCAAGTCTTTAGGAGCCCTGATGATCCAGGGTTTTTTTTCTCCTAGTAATCATGCTAGCTGGTATCAAGGTTAACAGAGGCATATTTTCTTGCTGGTTAAACATGCCAATCTTTTCTGCTTAGTGATGAAAGCAAGATTGGCCTGATGAATAGCAATGAAGATGGAAGAACTGTGTGCAATAAACTTTGGGAAATCAAATTAATATTTTTACACTTAAAACAAAGTAAAAAAGCAGTTATATAACAGCAAAGTCAGATCCTTAATGGCTTAATGGAACATTCAGAATAGTAAAATATTTTTGCTCATACACATCTGGATCAAAATAAACATTGGAGAGGAGCACCACTCTTTATTCCTCTAAATATATATTCAGTGCTGCAGAAAGACCAAAGGAAGCATTATTTAAAGGTGAAGGGGTTCCCTATAATATATTAAAACTGTGAAGATACCTGTTATCCCTGAACAAGACTTCTATATATAATATTTCAATTTCTCTTGAACATGCAGCAGTCATTCTACACTGGTAACAGTAGCGATTCTTTTACATACAGTGATACACAGAATTGCTTCTGTTTATCATAAACATTTTGTAAGCAATTGGTTTTAATGCCTGCCTCACTTCGAGATGGGATCATGTGTATATTGCATACAGTCTTGAACCAAAAGAGTCAAATGCAGCTAGCACTGTCTTTTCAGGAGGCAACTGGACTTTCTTGTTTTTTCATTTAAAGACATTTTGCTTTTCGTCCAAGAAGCTTCTTCAGCTCTGACAGGATAGTAGGGAATGGAAGGATTTATATTCCTTACAGACACCTTGTAATTTGTATCCTTTTAGAGGATCATTGAAGCACTTGGAGATTTATCTGTGTCCTCAGGGTCACCTGAGTAGTGCTCCTGGTTCCTGTAATCTGCCATTTTTCCTCTGGAAATCCACTCCTACTCCCAACATCATTCAAAGGGTGTTCATCCCAAATTGTATAGCTAAAAGTCTGTAGAGATTCTCAGTGATCCAGGTCATGGTTGTCCAAAAGGTGCTTTTTCAGAAGGCAATTGGACTTGATTTTTCTTTTGAAGACATTTCACTTCTCAGCCAAGAAGCTTCTTCAGCTCTGATATCTTTCCATTCCCCACTATCCTGTCAGAGCTGAAGAAGCTTCTTGGATGAGAAGCAAAATGTCTTCAAATGAAAAAATAAGAAAGTCCTGAAAAAACAGAGATGACTGAGAATCTCTACAGACTTTTATATATTTCTTTTCATTGCTCTACTGCTGTGTCAATGCCACCTAACTTCTAGAACATTACTGCAATTTATTAGTATAATCAATAATTATTCTTCACATTAACAGTACTGACAGGTATAGAATTCTGTTATGGCAACACAAGGATACATAATTTCCTTTAATCCTTTTTTTATGAAAGGGATTAAATATTCTAAATATTTAATGTTAAACCAGTTATTTAATCTATCATCAGGGAAAATTGATCTAATATATGTAACTTGGCTTTTGGCAACAAAAATATTTCAGAATTTCAATTTTTTTTAATTGTAATACATTTTGGGAATACATATTATTCCAAATGTATTTATTAATATTTATTTCTTTCAGTTTCAAATTATAAATCTGTTCCATAGAGGTTAGAAATGAAGAATTGATAAGGAATTGAAATTATGCTCATAAAAAGGCTGTTTATATTGCTAGCAGCTGAAAATCTGAATTAAAAGGAGAAAGCTCCCAAGACTTCTAGGAATTGACCTGGGTGAGATACATACAATCCATGCCTTTCAAAATGTTTTGGGAACATATTCTTAATAATTTACCCTGTAAAACTGATTTGTTAAGGCACTAGGCTAGAAAGCACTGAGTTCAAATCCCATCTCAGCCATGAAAGACAGTTTGGTGACTTCAGTCCAGTCACACTCTCTCAGCCCAACCCACCTCATAGAATTGTTGTGGGGAAATAAGAACATTAGTTATGTTCACCACGTCCTTGGAACAATAAGTATTGACACTGAGTTTTATTTGATCTTACAAAACCCTTCCTTTCAACACTTCTGAAGTGTACTTGCATGTATTTTTGAAGGACTGTGCTGTTATATTTTTCTAAATGCATTATGAGTATCACAGCTTTAAGGAAACATCATTTTCAAGGCCAAAAGGTAGACTTAAAAATACCTCCTGTGTGTCCTAAATTTTCTTATTTTTTTAAAAAAGAATATTGTTATCTGATGACATTGTTAGTAACAGAATAAAAATAAGCAGATGCAATCCTTTTGTATGGCCATTCCATTCCAGTTCTTTTCTGACCCTGGTTATTTAAAAAGCTGTTCATTCAGCACCGTTGTTTAACCTGCATTAATCTTCATTGATTTACTCAAAACATACAATTCATTTTACTTACTTGACTCTTTTTCTATCCCTGCCTCTGCCCTCCCTCCCTCTGAACCTATTTAAAGAGAGTGCTGCTAACAAAATAACAAATCTTTTCGCTTTGGATCCTTTACCATTTTGCTGACTGCTAGGAGTTTTAAAAAGTGTCAGTGCTCTTGCCTTGTCATTTGCACAACCCAACTCTTCACTGCAACCACTGAGCTCAGCAATTCTGCAAGCCAATTCAAGCCAGACATTCTGGGGCAGGTATATTCTCCATGACAAAGTGATCATTTCTGCACTGCAATCCTTAAATTAAACTTGTTTATTGGAATCTATAGGATTTTCCTCTGTTAAGATTCAGGGTCAGCAATATAAGAACGTCAGAGGATTTTTTCCATCTCCACCAAATTTCAACTGACTCACATAGAATTATTTGGAGCATGCATTTTTCTTACCCCACAACCCAGTCCGTTTCTTGCTTCACACACTATTTTCCTCATTTCTGATTCAGGAAGCAGGCCAGCTCCGCATCCTGGAGTGGGACACAAAACACCGCCCATCTGCAGAACGTATTCTTCTGCACCATAGCCTTGATAACGATTGTACTGAAACAAAGAAAAAATCAGGCTCTAATAAATAAACTTTAGAAATTGAACATCTCTCACTAATGAATTCAATTAATCTGGACAACACAGAAAATCTTATTTTCATATTAAAGTGCCGGGAGTTTTTCACAACAGAATGGAATAACAGAGTTGGAAGGAACCTTGGAAGCAGTGGTGGGATTCAAATTTTTTTTACTACTGGTTCTGTGGGCGTGGCTTGGTGGGCATGGCAGGGGAAGGATACTGTAAAATCTCCATTCCCTCCCCACCCCACTAACCTGCTTTCCAGCTCCGTTCTCCTGTGCAAGACAACAAAAGAAAACCCAGCCAATCAGCTGGGACTTGGGAGGCAGAGAATAGATGGGGGTGGGGCTAGTCAGAGGTAGTATTTGCCAGTTCTTCAAACTACTCAAAATTTCCGCTACTGGCTCTCCAGAACTGGTCAGAACCTGCTGAATACCACCTCTGCTTGGAAGTCTTCTAGTCTAATCTCCTGTTGTCAAGCAGGGGACCCTATACTTATTCCAGACAATTGGCTGTCTAGTCTCTTCTCTAAAGCCTCCAGTGACAGAACACCTACAACTTCTGAAGGCAAGCCATTCCACTGGTTAATATTTCTCACCGTTAAAGAAATTTCTCCTTAGTTTTAGGTTGTTTCTCTTCTTTAGTTTAGTCTAGTTTAGTTCACTTTATTGTCACTGCACCCCGTACAACAAAATTAAATGCCATCTTCAGTGTACATGATAACTATAAAAATTAACACAAACATACATCCTTCACATTCTGCTCTATCCTTGATTAGTTTCCATTGTTTCTTGTTTTGCCTTCTGGTGGTATGGAAAATTGACCCCTTCTTCTTTGTGGCAGCTATTGGAACACTGCTATCATGTCACCCACAGTCCTTCTTTTCACTAGACTAGACTTACCCAATTCCTGCAACCGTTCTTCATATGTTTTAGATTCCAGCTCCATAATCATCTCAACATATTTTTCATAACAACGAGAGAAACATCTCATTAGCAATTGTGATGCACTGATCTGTTCCAATGGAAGTAGTATCACACCCATGGTAATAAAGAATTCTATACATTTGGGTTATACAGTCTAATATCTTCCTTATTTATTAAAGTATTTATGGTCTTGCTTTTGATAATTGACCATAAATCATAAATCTAAAGTTAATTAGGGCTTAATTTTTGGGATTATCTTATCCTGGTAAGAATTGCCTTAGGTGAAATGGACAGCAATATGCATTTGAAAAACAAACAAACAAATAACCGAATAAATTTGATTCACTGGATTTAATTTGGGAAACAAAATCTATTTTCACCTTGAAAATTATGTTTATATAGGATTATGCCAAACCATTATACTATAGTTTTCCAAAGACAAAAAAAAAAGAGAGAGAAGTAGGCGAACTCAAGGAACAAAAACAAAATCGTGTTATGCACATTCGCTAATTCATTATTCAGTCACCAAATTGTCTTTTGTATTTTAAACTGATATTTTCAAATATATCTTTTAATTTAATCTCTCTCTCCATTCAGCTTCAGTCAATAAAAGTCCTACATTTTTAACAAAAAGCCAGTTCAGTTGCAAAATATGCCACTGATCTACCTATAGAACACATGCTTTTAAAAGAGTCCTTGCATTGAAATAACTACCCAGTTTAGGGGCAGCCAAAATATATATTGAATATATCATTTCTTGAAAACTCCAGATGGCAGAAATCTATCCTGAAGGAACTGAAAATATTTTTTAGAAAGAAATGAATTCTGCTTCCTCTTCAAGCCATTCAATGTATATCTACCTTGTACTGTGTAGACCATGCTAGTGAGGCTTTGTTTTGAGTTTATTCAAAGGATGTGCTGGGGCAATACATGTCTGCTTGGTATATCTACTAAGTTCAATTCTGTGAGAAAAAATATAACTAGCATGGGGTTTATCTACCTGCAATGTAAGAAACGATCAAGTCAAACCAAAGACTTGTAAAAATACTCCAGAAATTCAGGGAGAGTTTTTATCCAATCCTACGTAATCCTTCTCCATTGTTGTCGACGATGACAACTTCCCTGGATGAAATATGAGATCCTAATAGTGGAATTAAGCAATTCTAAGGACCCTATTGATGGTCAATCATCCCTAGTTACTTCCCAGTTGGATTATTGCAATGCAGTCAACATGGAGATGCCCTTGAAGTGTATCTGGAAAGTTCCACTGGTGCAAGATGCAGCAGCGTGAACAGTTATTTCATTTTTGGTAGAAGCAAGCAACGGTACATACCTCTGCTGTGTGAACTACATTGGTTACTAGTTTCTTTCCAGGTCTGATTCAAGGTGCTAGTATTGATTTTTCAAACTCTATATGGCATGGGAACAGGTTATCTGAGGTATTGCCTCACCCCAATTTTATCTTCTTGAACCACCAGATGTAACAGAGTGTGTGCATATTGGAGGTTCTGTCACCTAGGGAATTAAATCTGGCAAACACTATAACCACTATAACCATAACCTTCCAGACCTGGTTATGCCAGGAAGCCTGGAGATTCCAGGAGCAGGTAAACTAGTGAGATGGCTCCATTATTATTAACATCGCTTCATCTATTATTCTTTATTTTAGTTTTATTGTTAAACTTTTAATTTTTTTTAAAGAATGTAATTATCATTACATTATTGATTGTTTTATATTTGAGCAGCACAGTGGCCTAGAAGTTAAGACGTTCGTCTCACACTCAGGAGGTTGAGAGTTCAATCCTAGGCAGCAACAGATGTTTCACTATCAGGGTGCAAAGAGAAAATATCTGCTGAGAACTCCACATAGGTGTCAGGAAGGGCATCCAGCCAGCAAACACTCCGCTCCATTCAGTTGCCCTGACTCCATCCCGATTAAAAGGGATTGCAGGGTTGTAAAAAGAAAAACAATATTGCTTTAGTTTTGTATGCCAGTTAGAGCCACTTGTTTGTAGGATGGGCAGCTATATAAATTATATAAATAAATTAATGCATGGGGAGTAGCTTTTGTACATTGTCTGCTATATCTAAATAAAGGCACCCCACCTTGACAAACAAATCCACAAACCCTCAAGTTATGATCTATTGGAAACTCAGAAAATAACAGTTGGAAAGGAAGTTGGAATCATCAATTTCAGCTCACTACCCATTGCATGAATCCATAATAGGATTAATAATCACATAGAAAATAAGATATGGATATATAGTACTTGCTAATATGCTGTCATATTTCTCCCTATATTTCATAAATTCTTATTTATTAATGGCTCCGTTAATAATGAAAAATCACTTATCCGAAGCAAAAAGAATTAGCACACATGAAGGATAAATCACAGTTCTGGTGTTGTAAAGTTGCCCTAAAATCCACAACTGGCAGAATTTCCCTGTTTTAACATTAGAAATACAGGCATCCTCCACTTATGATCACAATTAAACCCCAAGATTCCACTGCTAAGTAAGACAGTTGTTAAGTGAATTTTGCCCCATTTTACCAGCTTTCTTGCTAGAGATGTTAAGTGAATCACTGCAGTTCCCCATTGACTTTGTCTGTCAGAAGGTCACAAAAAGGTCATCATTATGATAACTGCAACTGTCATAAATACATGCCAGTTGCCAAACATTCGAATTTTGATCACATGACCCCTCGGATTCTGCAATGGTTGTAACAGTCATAAGGGCCATTGTAACTTTTAATAGTCACTAAACAAATAGTTATAAGTCAAGGGCTACTGTACTTTTCTTTAGGTACTATTTTTCTAAAAAGTCAAGTTAGTTTTCTTCCTGGTCCTATAGCAATTCCTATAGGAATTACAAGTAAAGTTGCCAGCTTTGCAGCTGGTTACTTTTTCTCAACTCTTCCTACATTACAGGATTGTGCCTGAGAGAAAAACTGGAGAAGCTAATGTAACGTACATCATGTTGAATTTCTGGAATAAAACTAGCATAAGGAAGGAAGGTGAGGGAAGGATGGATGTGAATAACACTAAACCTATGGAAAAACATGGCAGCTCAGAAGTTCGGTTGGAAAAAACAAATTTAAATTAAAAAAAGAAGATTGGTTAATATGTTTAACTTAATTGTCAACCCTGAAGTGAACCTGGGTGAGGCCATCTTGGAGGCTTCAGGGTTGTCACAAAGCAGAAGAAGGGAAAGGGAGTGGGGAAATAGGTAGATGGGGTTCTGTAGCCAAAACAAAGATGTTTTCCTGTGGGAACCAAGGACATTCTAGCAGGTAGGTGGCCAGAGGAGGAATGAAGTAACTAAGCAACCAGCCAGCACCTTGATTGGACAGTGTAACCAGTGACTTGAGAAAAAGAGGGAATGTTTACTTTTTAATTAGGTGAAAGCCCCAGGAACTTTCAGAGTTGGCTTTCACCATATTGTACCAAAATGATATATCCAATAAATTGTTCTTTGAGGAATTTGTCTGCCTCAGAGTTCTGCTTTCTATGGGTGCATTACTTGGAATGCTGACATCAAGCCGATTCCTGGCAATAATGATGTGTGTGCATGTTACGTGTGTGTGTGTGTGTGTGAAAGAGGGAGAGAGAGAGAGAGAGAGAAAGGAAGGGAGGGAGGGAGGAAGAAAGAGAGAGACAGGGTTTGATCAAAATGAAACTCAGAACATCTTGACTGTTCCAGCTTTAGGATGAACAGAATCTGGAAAGGTCTGCCATGGTGAGTATGGCAAAACCGAATGCCTCTTTCCCTTTCTGCTCTGAATAGCGTGTCCAGCAGCCTGTCTGATGGACTTTTCAGTTTCTATTATGGGCTCCTCTGTTACTGCAGCTCAAAAGGTAAACCAGGTGGATTCACAGACTTTGGAGAACTACTAAGCCTCAGGTCATTGCCATCAACAGAAAAGTGGGCATTGGCCTAACTCCCCAAGCAAACAAAGCATTAATGCCTCTAATTAGAAATTCTGGCTATATATAGTGTACCCAACAAACTCTTAGAACAGATATCTTACATCAGTGGTGGCATTCAAAGTGGTTTATGGTTCAGTGCGTGTGGCTTGGTGGGCGTGCTTTGCATGCGCACACTTTGTGCACGTACGCGTGCCAAACACATGCTTTGTGCACACGCAGAGGCTTTCCTACTCACCTCCTGCAATACTGCACTCTCTCTGTGTCTTGAACAGCTGATGCGTGGCAATCTGCTATGCTACGTGAAGCAGCTGTGCTTCAAACGTAGGAAATAACGGTCAGTATGGGAGACCAGGCGGGCCGGTGGGCCCAACAGCAGATTGTTGGAGCAAACCAGTTTGCTCCCAGATGATCTTTGGAGATACCGGTTCGGCAGACCTGGGTCGTACTGGTAGAATCCAACCCCTGTCTTACATATACCTGCATATACGAACAAAACTAATTCTCTGCATATATTTTAATCTGAGGAGACATGAATGAATTAAATACAACTATCTTTGCAGCCAATATTCGCCCTGGCTGAATCAAGCTGGAAAACTCCAGAGATGTGTCACTTGTCCTCAACTCTCTAATCTTTAGGACTGTTCTCTAAAATAGATGGTGCGTTCCTCAGTGCACATTATTGGAGGAAATTAGGGCTCTCAAAATTTTATTTCAAGAATCATTTAAAAGACAATTTTACTAACAGGACACATGAACAAATGTTCTACAGCATTTTAATTTATATGGCCTATGAATATTTAAAAGTACTTCCACACAAAACTTTTGGAATAGGAACTATCTTAATTGATCATAAAAAGGACTTAAAAATTCATTGTCAACTAAAAAAAATGTCATTAAAGAAGATAAAGAACATCAGGATTGATACACTTGAAATACAAGACCTGACCAATAAAGGATATATTTTAAGGAACTAAATAAATACTTCTGCATATGTAGGGGTCATAATTCTAAAATATTTCAAAATATTTTGAAGTTGAGTTATTGGATGCCAACAATTGCAATGTTCCTTCTAATTAAGCAAGACATGTGATAGCCTTAAGAAAATCTTTTTCCATGAATCTTCCTACTAACATAACTATTTTTGTTACAATTCTTAAAAGATGTATTTTTTAAAAAAATTCCTAGCATAATAAGTTTGGTATCCATGCTCCTCAATTTCCCTTTTTGTATAGCTATTTAGAACTGGAAATGCTTGACAAACTTTTTAAAAGTGTGGATATTGACATACAGCTGCATTCCAAATTGTTTGAGATCAGAAACTTGCAAATTAAATAATGGAAATGCAAATCACACCAAGTGAATCCATTGACCCTTAATCCATTTGGTTTCACAGACAAGAGCAAGAAAGATGATTAGGGGATATATAAAGAACACTTTTGCTGGCATTGGTATCATGATAGCAATGTTCCAATATCTAAGGGGCTGCCATAAAGAAGAGGGGGTCAACTTATTGTCCAAAACTGAAGGCAGGAGAAGAAGCAATGGATGGAAACTAATCAAGGAGAGAAGCAACCTAGAACTAAGGAAGAATTTCCTGACAGTTAAAACAATTAATCAATGGAACAACTTGCCTTCAGAAGTTGTGGGTGCTCCAACACTGGAGGTTTTTATGAAGAGTTTGGTCAACCATTATTTGAAATGGCATAAGGCAGGGGTGTCAAACTCAATTTCATTGAGGGCCGCATCAGGGTTGTGTTTGACCTTGTGTCAGGTTTCCAAGTGATGAAATCCATTTAAAAAGAAAAGAGCAAACTCCATCTTCCAAAACTATTTCTTTTATTTGGGAAAGCATCAAATTGGCAAAGTCTGTGGTAATTCCAGATCTGACACAACCCGGAATTATCCCACAATATTAGAAGTTAGAAACAACTCTCAAAGGTCACATTCTCCAATAGAAGTAATTCAATGTTGCCTGATGTCATAAACCTCCTAAAGGGCCTCAGCATGGTCAGCTCTTGTTCCCACAGGAAGAAGGATCACCTAGCCTAAACAACTCTCTCTATCTCCACTCCTCCCTCCTTAGGAATGTGGCAAGCCCAAAACCCTTCCCCCATAACCACCAAAGAGAAAGTAAGAAAAAGAATATATACTAAACCTAACTAAAATGGCTTTGCATATGTCAATTTTGGGAAATTTTTGACACCTGGGGGGGGGTTGGGGTGGTGTGTCTGGGGTGGGTGTGGCCAGCTTGATGTCACTCGTCTTGTCACAGTGGTGGCTCAAGCACTCTGCCAGCGAGAACAGGCTCCCAAGCTCTGTTTTCAGCTGCAACCTGTAACTGTCTACTAGCTTCCTCCTGTAACTGTCTGCTAGCGAAAACGGAGCTCCATTTTCATTGGCAGAGGCATCATGGGCCGGTCCTTTGCTGTTTCCAGGGTGGCTCCACAGGCCATATCTAAGCACCCCATGAGCCAATCCTGATCTTGAGTTGGAAACACACACACACACACACACACACACACACGGTATAGAGTTTCCTGCCTTAGCAGGGATTTGGACTAGAAGACCTTCAGGGTTCCTTCCAACTCTGTTATTGTTATTCATGTTCAAAAAAGGAAAAGCTAGGTATGTTATACGAAAGAATAATTAAATAAGTGTTTATTGTGTTGCAACCTGAAACTCTGTAAAGAGTTCATGGGTAGTATTTTAAGATCCTAACTAAATGAATAAAAAGAAGGGATGAAGCATCATGCATCTATTTATAGTTTAGGCAGCCTTTATCATCTTATTTGTCCACCTGTAAATTTACTGCCTGTTTTCTTCAGGGATCCGGAGTTGAAAAGCTGTGGCAGGTAGTGCATATATAACAATTAATTAAGTACCAAGAATACAAGAATACAGAGAATAATCATAAATCAATTGAAAGGAAGGAAGTGAAAGATAGGTCACATATGGGAGTCATGCTCCCCAATATTAGAGCACTGGGAAGGTTATGAGATATGCTTCCCTGGAGCACTTCCCTGGAGAGAGAACCAGCTGCCTCATTAGTGTCTATCATTCAGGGCACCATGATACCATCTTTCAGAGGCTCACTCACCTGCTCGTCTCCAAGAATTCTGAAATGATGCAGCTCTTTAATCAAGGAATCTGGACAGCCCGCTGCAATAAAGAGAGAGACCGAAGTGCAGGTTAGAACAGATTCTGACTTGCTCAGTATGATATACCGCAAGGAGACACATAGTTACAGCATCAATGATGGATACCTTGCATAAACAGCATCATAAAATACTGTGAACCTAGAAGGAATATACTTCCATACTGCATTTCAGAACAGTTTAGGAATGCTGCACAGGTGAGATGCTGAGAAATAGGCAAATTAGCAGAAGAAGGTTTTCTACACAGCCAGTCTCAGCAGTTTTGTGTTCTTAGGTCAATCGTGCCAGAATAATATCTACACCCAAACCTACACCAGTATATTATAGTTTTTACCATATACTCTTCTCCCCCACCCCTCTCTCCCTCCCTCCCTCCATCTCAGCTAAGATCCTGCCCCCTCTTAGGCCTCTGGTAGAGGATCTCTGGTAGAAAGGAAACAAATCTTGGATATAGTATATGCATCAGGAATGCATGCAAGTTTGATCCCATCTGAAGGGGTCTGCATTTTGTATATGGAGTTTTCTTAATCATCTTAGTTATAGTTAAAGCAAACATTGACAACTCAATCCCTGCCAGATATTTTGAAGCAACTGTATTAATACCTGCCAGCATGACACAAGATGATGGGAACTATAATCCCAAACATGTGGAGTGTATATAAGAAGGCATCTGTGAATAGAATATTGTTCCTTAAGACTGAGCTGGGTGGCACATGGGATGGAAGAAAGGGAGAAGAGTTAGCCATGAACATTTTTGCCATACAGATGTTGTACAGATGATGAATGAGAATAGAAGGATTAAAATCCATGGAAACAGTTAATTAAAATATAACAGAATCTTCTAGGGTTTGTATACAAGAACCAATATTCCACCCAAATAATATTTTTCTTACTTTCTACATTTATTTACTAGCATATATATTATATCAAATAAAATACAAAGCAATAAATGTAAAGAACCATAATGAGAGAAGGTAATAAATATTACTTGATTTATATGGAAAGGCACTGAAACCTCCCTAGAGAATCAGTTAAATTATAGTTTCATGGAAGTTCAATATTCTACAATATATATATATATATATATATATATAAAACATTTTAAACCATTTTGAGATATATCTATCTATCTATCTATCTATCTATCTATCTATCTATCTATCTATCTCAAAATGGTTTAAAATGTTTTTTTTTAAAAATCTCAGCACTGAGATGTGTGTGAACACCAGAAATAAGCTCACTTATAGAAAAGAGTTGCTAGATCTTGAATAAAGATACCAGAATAAAGATTTATAATAGAATTACAGCCAAGTTTAATGTCATAGTACACTGATAAATACTGATTCAACCTTCCACTCTTTTTTCAAATTTCAAACTGTTGAAAGTAATTAAAATGCTTATGTGAAAGTAAGACCTTTATCCTTCTCATGTCTAAACTAGTGTTGAAGAACTGTATCTGTATGACCCCATAATCACTCTAGAGGTGTCAGGCACTGATGCCAAAGGATTTAGTAAGTGACTTCATTGTACTAAAATTCACTGCTTTTAGTTAACCTTTTCTCCTTCATATAGTTTATTCCCATTAAGAAAAAAAAACTGAAGAATTTGGACAGAAAGTTAATCACAGTTGCTTTATTGACAATACACAGCAAAAAGAAACATGACCAAATTATATCCAGTAAACAGACAATGAGAGATTTAATCAAGACAAAGGAAGAGATATGGAGATTTGTGATTTTCAAGAAGCAATAAATACATTATTGTCCTGGTCAGAAACTATTTAAAAACACAGGGGAAAAAAGGAATTTTACAGTGAGAAAGAAACAGCAAGATGCTGGCTCAGCGTTCTTCAAACTAGTCAACATTCATATATTTGAACCAATTCCCAAAATTCTCAATGGGTAAGTTGTTCCATTAACTTTGGAAATTTAAGCCCCTACAAGGGATGCTTAGGTTGGGGAAGGCACATGCTAGCTTTTCAGTCCTAACCCTAACCCTTCATTTCTACAGTGTGAAACATCGATCCTTTTTGCTTAAATATCTAGGATACATTAAGCGTGACTCAATTTCTGGATCTTTAGCTTTTTATAATGTGGACAGAATAGAACAGAAAGTACATTCTTCCTATGAATGCAAATAGCAACTGCTATTTCAGTGCAAATAAAGATGGAGAAGGAATTATTTTAATAAATCGACTCAACTTTTTTTACATTTTATGCTGCTAATCCGAAGAGTCATTGCTGTTTATTTGATTAAAAAAAATAAATTCATACTCTTGATTGACAAGTCAATATAGCAAACTTGCAAAATAAATGCTGTTGCTTTTTATTTTAGCGAGGGATCAATAGAAGAGAATATTTGTAGCTCAGGGTGGAACTGTGGAGCCCTTGGTGCTCTCTGAGATTGGCTGTTTTCTTGCAGACATTTCATTTCCCAACTAAGTAACATCTTCAGTGCTGCATTGGAGAAGAGATGTTAAATAACATAATATGGAACCATCTCTCTTTGGAGATTGCAGCTACAGTACACTATGTAATCTGAAGTTGCAGATTACCAAGTTGCCCATTAGTTTCATACTACTTCACCTAGAAGCTTAAGGAGATATAGCTGATTTGTTCCCATTGTTTTATCCTTAAAAATCCTGCAATATAAATTGGTCAACCAAATGGAGACTTGACTTTCCATTTTAGTGCAACACTCTATTTCCTACAGCATAATGGCAACAAACAAGAACTTATACCTTCATGTATGTAGAGTTCCCCACTGACAATTACATAAAAGGAAAGAGCTTTTCCTCCTCAGATACATTTTTCCACAAAATGTATCTGAGGAGGTTCTAGAGATCATATTCTTCCCTGACATAAAATAAAGCCATCTTCCTTTTAGTACTGGAATTTTACACAGGGGCCACCTAGATTACCATTCCCAACAATGCTAAGATATTGCAAACTAATATGCAAAACAATGAAATTATAATATGCAGCAACTGTTCCTCTGTTGATTAAGGAAATTGCCTGAACCTGGGTAAAGTGGGAGGCAAAAGGTAAAATCCTCATTTTGATGTGATTCTAAATAAATGTAACTTTAAATAAATGCTTGTCTTTTTATTTTCTTTAAAACCAAACAGATAGCTTTCTCTGAAGTACTGTAAAACTGTTTGTTTGTTTATATAAAATGTTTAAAATGTCTATCTTGTGTCAAACTCTTGGCCTCTCACAAATAAACAACATTGATTTACGTTGGTAAAACAACATCAATTTACAATAAAAAGTAGAGCTGAAACAAAAACTGAAACCAAATCCAAAACAACCCAAACCAGGAACTTCACTTCTTGAAGTTCATTTCAACAATTTCACCCTATTTCAGTGTTTTGAGGAAAAGCAAGTTTTAAGTGCTTTTTGGAAAGTTAAAAGTTTGGGGCCCAATCAAACTTCAAAGGGGAAAAGGCACATATCCCAGATCTCACAAGATGGCACCATTTAAGGGAAGAGACGAGAAAGGTTCCTGCCCTATCTTGGCAGGTAGAACTTGAGTTAGGAAGAGGTGGTTCCCCAGATAACCTGGGTTGGTGCCATAGAGGCCTTTAAAGGTAATAAACCAACACCTTGAATTGCATCTGGAAGTGCAGCTAGTGCAACAGGAGTGTAGACATACCCATAACTCTGTGTGCTGCCATATTCTGGACCAGTGGTAATTTCTGAGTGGTCTTCAAAGGCTGCCTCATTTAGAAGACACTGCAATAATTTAAACTGTCTACAAGATGAACCTGTGCAAGGGCACCTCTACTTTTGGGCTGCCATCTGTTGCTGGAACAGGAGATTTATGGTGGTTCCATTTTATCGATGAGTCTTCTAGTGCTGAAAAAAAAAAACCTTACCATCTCAGAGAGATTCCCATACCTCTTTGATATGATTTAAAACCTAGCCTGTTATATGACCAAGTTCATTAGTTGACGATACAGATTCATATTTACATTCATTCTGCCAAATCCCTTAGCAAAGACTTCTGGCTCCTTGTTCTATTTTTTTCTCAAATCTACTTGCTTGCACAGTAAATGCTATGCAATTCTTGCCCGAGACTGGAATGGATAAAACAAATGACAGGAAATTCCTTGCTAGCAATATAGAGAGAGCGTATCAGCTGAAACAGGGAAAATTCTGCAAGAGTGATTGTATGGCGCTCTGGCCTCTGCTTGCAGAAGCTCTCCCCTCTTAATAGCAGCTTTAAGGCCAAATTACTCAAAGTAAATGGACCGCTATGCCATTTGCTTCAATGATACCTTCTTGCTAACCTTTATGGCAGATAAAAAAAAATATCAACAGGGAAAATGTTTGCATTTCAGAGTGCTTTCTTTTATTATAAAGTATTTAAAGAACTGGGCATTTTTTAAACTGTCTTCATTTGAATCTCATTTGGGGCTAAATGTTTAATTATGTTCCCTTTCTTGAGGTTGTTAGATTTGGCTTTTCTCTCTATCTCACTGCTATATGGCAGCCCATTCAAACAACCTAAAAGAGAACTTCAGGGCCAAATTTTGACCATTTCTTATAAAATCAGCAGGCCAAGGGTTTAGTTTAGTTGGTTAGTGAAGACAATTAACAGATTTATTAACAAATCGTGCACTTAATCATGATCCACACACACACTAGTAATACACTAACATTTAGTGTTAAAATGTAGATTTTTAAAACCCCTGGATACAGGCCTCAAGGAGTAAAAAGAGGAACTGTTATGATTTTTAATTTTTCTTGACTTTGGGATTCAAATAAATGCACATTTAATTCATATACATAATTATTATCTAAATGAATTATATGTGGATGCATTTGACTCTTCTAAAATGAATGGAGAGAAAGAATCAAGTGCTAGATTCAGATTCTTGCCTTAAGTCATGCCTTCTATGAATTAAGCTGGCATCTCATGGGGACTGCATATAAAAGGAGAAAACTCCCAGCCTTGGTAGATGTCAGCTGATATTTACAATAAATTAATACAGCTTTAATA